GTACAACCCCCGGAAATGGTCATGTGTATAAAATACGTTTGGGTTTTAATAACAGGTAATCAGCACAAGGAAGTAAACTTGTTAAACTCAGATGGTAACTTACATTTTATTCTGAAATATATGTTATGTCAGGAAAATGCACTATATTAAAGGCTTTATGTTCAACCATTGCCACTAAAACACAAAATAAAATTAACTGTCAATATAATGACAGCCAGCCAGCTATAGACAGAAGTTTATCCACTCACAAAATGTTCTGTATATTAAACATACACCCCAAAAAAAGGCAATGTTCAAACATCCAATTTTTTTAGATGCTGGAGGATAGCTGTGATGTATGATAACCATAATTGACAGATGAGGTTCTCACAGCAGTGTTAATTAAGATTGCTGTCTTCTTTGATGTGATGCCGTGTAGTCTGGCAGAACAGCATTAATGTTTCGGAGATATTTGCTGCCTCCATCTTCAGTGTAGAAGAGTTACCTACATATCTCTGGAGTCCAACCAATTGCCTGTTCAATGGGTACCAGCATCTCTTTCAAACGGTTTTCAAGAGCTGTAACATGAAGCTAATCCCCCCCATCTCCAACTAGTACGACGGCCAAAATTATGTGGAGTTTTACCTCTGCTACTCAGATATCTCCATGGCATGATGCTTAATCATAGCGACATCTTCACCTTTATACAGTGTTTAGACAATAAAGAACTGCCATTCATCCACAGTGACAGTGTAGTTAATTGTTTTTCAGTTACTGTCACTGAATAAAGAAATACATTGTGCATCTTTGTTTTTCAAAAATTACCCTTTTCACATGTCTACTTTTATTCTGGGTTGTCACAGTGTCTTGTCTTCTCTTCATTGTGTTAACAATCTTACAGTAACTGCTTGAAATGCCTGATTGTCAGCACTTCATGTGAGGCGAAATTGTCCCATATCATAAATTACCTTAACAGTGCATAGCTGCAATACAAATCTCTGTACTGCAATGACTCCAGATAATTTTCAGCTCAAAATTCACATAGCTGCCATGTTAGAATAAGAAGTTTGGGACCTAAAATACGTGACACTGAGCAAGTCTCTGATAGCATGCCTCCTTTGCTGAATTTCATAAAAGTCAGTCTCGCATACACAGACGCTATAGTGTAACTTACTTGTTTACAGTTCACTTAGTAACGTTTTCAGTAGCTCAGGCTATATACAAGCATTAAAAGAATGATGAACTGGAAGGAAACATGGAAGGAAGCGGTCACAGCCTATTTCAAGGCACTATCCCACCATTCACCTGGAAGTACTCAGTCAGGTTAGTCACTGTCTTGTGTAACATTTGAAATAGGAACCTCTCAAATGCAGGATTGAAACATTACTGCCCGAACCAATCAGCCTCACTTCAAATTTAAAAAATCGGATTTCAGCAGCAAGCATCTCATTAGCATTTTTCTGGGTTGGGAGTTTACTCACTGAGAAAGTCTATGGTACAAACAACAAATATGGTGTTATCTTCTTTCCCTGGATTCTGGCTCCAAAAGTGTTGCATCTGATATAGTTGTGGGTGTATTTTCATTGTACTTACTGTGTGCTAGCATGTTCTTTGTTGTTTGTGTAGTTTTGTGTGCTGTGTTTTGTTTGAGAGTGGTGTGTTATTTTGTGTGATGTGTGTTATTTGTGTGTTGTTACTTATTGTAGTACCACTGTCACCGGGCAAAAACCCATTTGCAGTTTAAATAAATAATAATAACAATAATACTTTCTTCATTATTAAATTCTTAGACATGCTGCTAAATGTGGAAGAATTTCAGACTTACAGGAATCAGGATGATATGGAACCTGATGTGTCTATACAATATGTGGAATCAATACACTGGAGGACTGTAAAATTTGGGAGTAACCATAAATTATGCTATTTCTACCATGTGCTTATAACAGTCCTACAGAAGAAATTAAGATAAGACTGCCAATACTAGCACAAAAATGAAGAAATGCACTAGCCACAACACGGTATTTCAAGCAAAGCATGTTCCAGTAACTATACCTGCAATATCTATTTTCCATTTCTCAGGTTACTTCAATTTAAATTAAGGGGAGGAGGAGGGAAGAAAGCAGGGAAACTGCATTATTTACTATTAATCATCATAAATATCATCCACTATGCAAGAGTCAGGATATCAATCTTTATCCAGTCCTTCAGGATCTCTTCATGCCAGTGTTTCAAATTCCAGTGCCTGCATTGGCATTCAGTATGTCATCATTCTTACACATGTAGGAGCCAATTCTTTCGGTAGTCTTCAATTTCACTGATAATATCTGAAACATTTAATTTCTGTCTGTGTATCTTTGATGATGTCATTCCATAGAAACCAGTACAAGTCATAAAAATCTTGTTTCTCTTGTGGTGTCCCTTTTCTTAAATTCCCAGACCTCATTGCCATATTTCAAAGGTGCTTTTCCTGTAACATTAATGTTCTTATTTTTGTTCTTGATAACATTAATTTGATAAAATTTCTCTTAAGAATCTCATCTTTTTCCATAAGAGTGTAATTTTACTCTCATATCCACTCTGTATTCTAGGAAAATGTATCATAAATACTTAAATTCTGATACTTGTTCTAGAACTGTCTAACAAAATTTCCATTCTGTGAATGTTACTGCTGTAGGTTCCTATAGATTCTGTTTTGATAGTTGAGATATATATTTATATTTATTTGCAATGAAGTTTAGTTTGTGTGCTATAATTTGCAATTCAACCTCTGATACAGCAAGTGGGACATAATCATCTGCGTTTAGTATCACATTATTCTATTAAGTATCGGCTGATTTCCAGCCATAATTCTTGTTTTTCTTGGCTGTAAGATTTTGTTGATGTAAATATTAACCTGGTGACTGCCATGGAGGACACAAGTATGTGTGCAGAACATATGACTTGTTTAACTTCTTTGATTGATTTCCGTCTCAACACAACTGTCAGAATCAGTTGTTTGTATAAAAAAATGTCACTGTAACAGGCCATGCAGGACCATAGGGTTGTGAGACGTCAAGGCTCCCACATTTTCTAGATAGTCAGCTCATAGATGGCGGTAAGGTTGTCAGCCTTACTAACGTGCTGGCCACCCTTTATGCTCCAGGAAGTCTCCTGGTACTCATTTCTGTTAGAGGCAGAGTTGACCCCAGGGCCATAATGCGGCTGGAAGGATCAGGTCAATTGAAAAAATCCAATGGCCTCATAGGGACTCGAACCTGCAACCTTCCGGCTTGTAGCGTAGTGCCTCAACCATCCATGCTACTGCGTGCCCTCTCACTGTGTATAATGGGTTTATTAATCTTAATAGTATGACAACGCGCTGCATGTTTCAGCTTACAAAGCCATCATCAGGCAGTATACATTAACAAATATTCTTAAACTATGTGTACTGCTTCATGATGGCTTTATAAGCCGAAACATGTAGCGTGTTGTCATACTATTGAGAATAATAAACTCATTATACACAGTGAGATGTGAATGTGATTCTGATAGTTGTTGTACTGAGACGAAAACCAAATGAAGAGGTTATATAGGATAACATCATATCATATGACCTGTTGCTAAGAAGACATCAACGTCACCTTCAGACCCATTACCTCTTTGCCACAAAGTACACCCATGTCCACTCTGGAATGAGGGCATACATTTTTATACTACTGTCATGTGTCCACCGGTTATGTGCAAACCCTGAAGGAGTGTGTCCACTGCAGTTCGTGGTACCACAATGTCCATCAGCATAGGTGACAATTCACAACAGCATAGAAATGACAACTCTCTCACCAGAATAGCCAGCGACAAATAACTTAAAAAAATCATGGTGGCTTGTAGTGAAAAGCAGCAAGCATTATGACAGCAGTCAACAAATTAAAAATATAGAAGACAAACCATGTCACTGTTATTTGGGTTTGATACGTCTCCGCCTGCCAGGTGTAATATATATTTTTGTTCCTTCCTTATATTAATATGTCTGGGATATTTACTTGTATAATTCTCCACAATATATCATGGTAAACTTCACCTCGATCCACAAAGAGCAAAAATGTGAACAGACTAATTCTTTTCTTCCGTCTTCCATTTCTTCAGTATGGCATCTATGTAGGTTCTTCCCCATTTGAAACCACACTGTCCCTTCTTCATATTATTTTCTATGAATATATTACTTCTTATTATGTGCACATGCATTTTATATGCTTTAGGAAAGAGGGTTATGCTTCTATAGTTCTCACATTTGTTTGGGGGTCCTTCCCAATGTATGTTTATTATCACTTTGGGGTGTTTGTAATTCTGTACATTATTAAGCAATTTCAACAGATTTCTTCTGATTATATAACATTCAAACAATTCTACAGATAAACAGTTCAATCACTGGACTTCGTACATCTTCAGATCTTCTCAAACTTTCGGTTCCCCATATTTCTGATCTTTATCTACATATTCAGTTTACTCCTGAGCTCTTCAGTCACTGGTTTTTCAAAACATTTTTACCCTTCTTTCTTTAAGTGTACACATTTTTAGATGGCTTTTATTCAAGACGTAGTTATTTGTATATTCTAAAACCCATTATCTGGGGTCATAATAATGTCATGTTCTAATAACTTTTCGGATTTCTTCAAATTTTCTTTGCACAGTTCTCCAGACAGTTTCCTAACTGTGATTTGTAATTTCTTGAATTTGCTGTTAAACTTTTCTGTCAGTGAATATTTTCAATATGCTTCTTTCTCTTTTTCCGTTAATCTGCAATTCAAGAACAAAGCCATTTGTTTTGTTTTGTTTTTTGTTACATTACAAGCTTCCTTCAGTTACTCTCTGTGGTATTTTTCCAATCTAGTTCAATCTAGTTTCATTATCATCACTGTGGTGGTAGTGTGGTAATACTATTGCTTATTAACAATTCATAAGTAATTTTCACATCTACTTACCCGATCAAAACATTAACTTGCCTAATACTTTGCTACCACAGACTTTCACTACATAGTACTCACCAGCTGTCTGCTTGAGGACCAGCATGCATTCTATATGTTCGCTCTTCTCTGCTATATCAAGCGATGTGAGGCCACTGTTGTCACGTGCCACAAGGTCAGCCCCATGAAGAAGGAGCTGTTTCACATTGCTTATATAGCCATGTTCTGAACTCATGTGAAGTGGTGTCTAAAAAGAAAACATTAAAGTATAACAGTTCCAAAATCATAGTCATACAGAACTGAACAGTAATAAAAATATTTTTTTTCTCTCTTTTGTTCAGATCTAAACACAATTTAAATCCATTATGTTACTAGAAGTGAGGTCAAGAATAATGCGGAAATTCCTCCACTCCCTCATACATTTTCAAGGCACTGTGCTTAACTAATTAAGCCCAGGGGCAACTTTACGTTGCGTTAATACAAGTCCAAGCCTTTAATCTGAATGCAAAACTTCAGAAGTTGTAATTTTAGCATATAAACAGACATGCCACATAATTCTGGCCTCATATTGTGTGTTCCAGAAAGCTGTATATTTTTAGTCCATGTTAGGTGAGTCCCTTGTCATCCTCAGGTTGCAGATGAAGGACACAGCCTCCAGATATGGAGGGTAGCTGCAAATATACTGAATAAACAGCTGTAGGCAGCAAACAAAGGGTAGTCCTCCAGCTTGGGGGCTGGGCATGGGGCTAACAACTCTCACCATAAAGACTAAGCTTGTTATGAAATGTCAAAGGAGCTGGGGTAGCATAGTCAGTATAGCGACTGGCTATGGGCTGGATGACCGAGGGGTCGGAATTTGAGTTCCAGTAGGGTCAAGAATTTTCTCTTCTCCAAATCGTCCATACCGGCTCTCGGATCCACTCAACCTCCTATCCAATGAAGCGGCCGGGGCCTGAAGCTGACCTCTCACCTCCGACTAGTGATGAGGTCAAGAAAATGGTGATCTATATATCCACTCCCCCATATGCTTTCATGGCGTAGTGCTTAACTCACTGAGCACAGAGACGTTACCTTTACCTGTTATGAAGGGTCTCTGACCTGACGGATTCTCTGGATAAACAGCCTAAGCTGGCTTAGGATAAGTACTAGTGGAGGGATGTTGTGAACACGGTAATGAACCTTTGGGTTCCATAAAATATCAGGAAGTTCTTCAGTAGCTGCACAACTAGCGGCTTCTCAAGAGGGGCTCAGCTCTATGAAGTTTGTTTGTTAGTATATTTTTAGTGCATATATATTTATATCTGAATGACAATTTGTACACTGAATAAATTTCTGTGATACAAAGTTTTCAGAAAATGGTATCAACGTCTACCACTGGTGCTAATTTTTTAACATCTTGGTACAACAGTAAATAAGGTTCAACTGTGAAAATATAGTAAAGCACACACACACACACACACACACACACACACATTAAGCTTAACAGATTACTTACCCTGTTGTCTCCTCTGGAACCACAAGGAATATTTGGATCCGCTAAAACAAAGACAAGAAAAGTAATACCTGGAACTATGTATTATACATATAAGCACACATATTTCAAATGTAAATAATTTAAAAACAGAAAAGTAGAAGACAGATTCCCATCAGTACGGTTACATACAGAGATTTACTGAATTCAAACCAAAATGCCTAACCTAACATAACCTAAAATTCTTCATGTAAGCAGAAATTTAAAGGCATCAGAGGTAATGTTAGGGTGGGCTTTCTGGTTTAGGTTACCAATAACTTAGGCTGTTTTTCAAACAATACTGATGGTACTCTGTCTTTCACCAAAATGTACATGGTAAAATTTCTAACTTTACCTAAATTACATGCAAATGGAAGCAGCTATGTCTCACCAGTATTGCTATGAGTCCTTGCTAGGTTAAAAAAGTCCTCTTTCATTATTCATTTAATCAAAACAACTTTAACAAATGATAATATACCACCAGCTTGAAGTAAGATTCCTAAACAACGAGAGTTGTCAGTTGTGGCTGCTGCATGCAGTGCTGTTCGCCCCCAAGAGTCTTGACTGTTAATGTGGGCTATCTGTTCTCCCCGCAGCAAATCTTCCAGCAACTCAGCGTTATCCCATAATGCAGCCTATTACAGAAGAATGACAGTATACGGATAAATTCACTATGACCTCAATATAAAACAGGATGCTACAGTACCCAACTCTGTATTGCTACCATTCAGTTCACAACCTTGTCTTCTAAACCACTGTCTAAAAACATAGAGGTTAAAATATATAAAACTATAATTTTTTTTTTGTAGTTTTATATGGGTGTGAAATGTAGTCTCTGACATTAAGAACACAGAATCTGGGTGATGAAGACAGGGCACTGTGGAGAATATTTGGACTTAAGAGAGATGGAAGTGACGGAGGTTAGAGAAAACTGCATAATGAGGAGCTTCATAACTTGTTCTCTTCTCCAAGTATAATTACAATGATCAAGCCTAGGAGGATAAGATGGGCAGGGCATGTGCCTAAATAGGGATAAGAGGAAGGCAAACAGGGTTTTGGTATGAAATTCAGCAGGAAAGTGACCACTAAGAAGAAAGAGACATAGGTCGATGGGTAATACAATATTTGGATGTATTTTTGAGAAATAGGAAAGGGTAGTGCAGACTCAATCTGACTCAGGATAGAGACCAATGGAGGGCTATTGTAAACACAGTAATGAACCTTCAGGCTCCATGAAATGTTGGGAAATTCTTGAGCATCTGAGCAACTGGCAGCTGCTGAAGGACTTCACTCAATTGAATCAGTTAAAACAGAGCTTCATAAATAATGTAACTTCTACACAGCTTAAAAGGAATCATGAGTAAGTACAGACTGGAGGTATAATCCATAGAGGTTAGCATCCCATCAGGAGACATACTGAAACTAACAGTACTACCAAGGAGATCCATTATAACAGAATCATCAAATATACTTTCACGATCTTCAATAGACGTCATGTTACTTATGAGTACATATACTCTCAATCATGAAAGTTTCATATTCAAGACATACTTTTTTTTATTCCATAGCTCAATAGGCTTGCAGCACTCAAATTATGACTAAGACTGAAAAATAACATGTTTGTATCTCACTAATCATTAAACACTACTTGGTAAAACTTCGTTAAGTATCAATATTCTCAAAACCAGCAATGGACTTACTTGATGCAGAAGTCTTCCAGGGAAATCATCTTCTGGAGTAACCTTTTCCATCCTGGTCAAGTGTCAAATTTTCATCCGATATTCATTAATTTCAGACACAACACTTGACTGTCATTTTACGGATACATAAATACAACGCGACACAATCATCAGACTAGTAAAACAAATACATTTGAAGCGCACAATAATGGCAACTTCCAGTACTGAAAAGTCACATTTTCAACACATACACTCTCCATTACATGCTTCAGACCCTTCAGACATCTACTTCCGGAAATCGTCATCAACCAATTACTACATCAGTTTCTTGATGTGCTTGCACCAAGATGCTGCTACAGTAACTGAATACTATTGGCTAATAACGTAAACGTCATTTGACGCCGTGAACGGTTTGAACAGGGAAAGAAACTGGGATAGGTGGGAGGGGGAAATCATGTAGAACTGCCATCTCTTCGCAGCCTACATGAACTTGGTAGTCTGGAATTGTCATACTACACCTATTGCAATTAATCGAATCGCGTAAGTGAGCCAATCAGAGAATCCTGCGGGTCTTGAATATGTTGTTCTGGCATCTATCGAGCAACTACTGAAAGACTCTTATAACTGGCAGCAAAATATCGGCAAAATATGGTCACGAGGGCCATGGGTCCCATAAGACTCGAAATCAGATTCTCTGCGCTGGAGTGGACCATCAGCAATTTAACAGCCAGAGAAGTTACTACAAGCTAGTTTGTCGATGAAGAGTACTGTCTTCTGGGACATAACTCCTGTAGTCTGTTGAAAGTGAACTGACTTTTCGTAGGAACATATCGCTTCCATCTTCATGGTCGAAGAATAAGCCGAGCAAGATACCAACGTTAAAACAGGTGGCAAGCAGCTCGCTGCTCGGCTTATTCTACGACCCTGAAGATGGAGGCAATATGTTCCTCCGAAACGTATGTTGACTTTTAACGAACTACACGGCTTTATATCCCCAAATATAGTACTCTTCATATCCACCACTGTGAGAATCTCAAATCCTGCATACCCTGATGATAGCCACAGCCACGGGTTCAGCCAGTAAACTTATTTCCAGCTTTACCCCTCCCTTTCTCACCACATCAATTTTGCAATCCTAATCTCTTGTGCTGCGGAGGATCTTACTTGGCTTTTAAAAATGAGTGTGGACTCGTTTAACAAGTGTCCTCCGTAGCCTGTAGTCCGCAAGCGAACAATACCGACCGAGCGACCGCTGCTTGTCGGCGAAATTAGTGCCAACGTTTGTGGATAGAGGGTATCGCGTGATCAGCGCAACGGATCCCACGGCCGTTAGTCTCGGTTTTCTAGACCGGAACCATTATTTCCTTGAAATAGCTCCTCAATTATCCTCATGAGACTGAGTGGACCCCGTTCAAGCCCCACTACTTCTCAGAAAATCTGGTAGCGCCGAGAATCGAACCCTGGACCCCTGGATCTGTAGCCAGGAAATCTGACCACTAAACCACAGAGGCGGTCCTGACAGAGATACAGATTTGTTAATTGTGCTAATCTGTGGATCAGTGTTTCTTAAAGTCAGAGTGTATTTATGACTGGAAGATATGCAATGACGGATAACATTTTTGTATGCAGCTACCAAGCAGTGAACTTAACCGTTTTTAAACACCGATCGGTCGGAAAAGCTGGCCCTCACCAACACAGTCATTCTTGGTGAGGGTTCCCGCGGTACTCATGACCATATTTTTGTCTCACGACTCTGGGAGTCCGGCAACTATACTCAAAAGTCGATTTTTTTTTCTTCGCAGAAAACACAATATACCTCAGTTACAAAGATCGACCGGTTAATGTCGTTTAAAGAAAAGAAAAAAAAAAGATCCTTATGCATGAACTATACGAAACACAAAAACATATTATGTGAGTGGACTGCAAATATAATGTTTTATAGCGAACGGTACATATAGAAACATTTGGCTTGAAAAACATAATTCGGTTTTGAATGTGCCCAAAATATCAATCGGAGTAGGTGGTAAATAGTCCAGGTTTAAAAACACCATGGTTAATACTTTGGCCAAGCCCTAAAAGGTTAAACCATTCGACAAAAATATAAAGAAACGTATGAAATTTTATGGTCTCTAATGAGAAAAGAGATATTCCATACCTTTTCGGCTTGGATAACAGAATCTGAGGTTCTTATAACGTTATATTCCACAAGATAGAAGTCTTGCGATTATAATAATTTGGTAAAACAGTTGTCTAACTAACAAAGCACCGAAAAACGGCTCAAAATCTTCCTTCGGTCACAAATATTGTTTTATATGACGCTCTAGGAAGTTTGAAGAGGCACGTCCATATAGTCACATAAAGACACTAATATCAATATTATAGGAGTTCTTCTATACAATTCTAACTTGTCATTTACACAAGAACGTAATCCAAACAAATTGTCACATCTCTGATATGTACTCTGATAACGAAATCCACGGTGCATGATTTTTACCGAAAAGTAATCCTTAAAAATTCTGCTCTTTGCAGAATCACGTGGAAGCAAATGATATAATTAAAATATGCGCGTGTCGAGAAGCAAATGCGAGATAACAGTCTTCGTGTCATTACACATATCGCCGTGCTCGATAGGCAATTTCTCCAACAGGACTGTAAGGCTTGGAGTCGAAACAGATTACAAGGGGACCATACTCCTTTATGCACAATAAATACCTTTAGTGGAATTAGTGAACGTGTTTTTCGAAATACTTTTTGGTTGGGAGGGGGGACCGCACTGATCCTGCTGCTCATTTGTTGTACAAAAAAACGTTGAACTGTTACTTATATCGTGTAACAATTACAATAAACAAAAGTGCACAAAATAAACACTGCAAATCTTAACGAGATCTGGATTTTGTTAGGTACCAGTTCCTGTTCGATGAACAACATTTTACAACAAAAACAAAATTATACAGTGTGACACTAAAGTTCCTGGACTGACGCTATTGCAGTAATATTAATAATACCATCTATCGGGGATGAACGAGAACAGTTAAAAGATAAATCTTATTCATACGATATGCAAGTTTCAACTTGTTTTATCAGTTTTATTTATTCGTTTTTGTTAACGATAGTCAGCGGCTCAGAAAACAGGAAAAAAAAACACACGCCAGGCGTAAATACATGAATAAATAAAGAAAAGTAAATACCTGTTTCAATTTTTCGTACATTTCTTTCATATTTCTTTTTGTGGCATTACGCGTCTGTTAACATTTCTTCATTGCACTAAGTTAATAAAATTAACATATGATGAGGAGTTCGTGTTTACTCGTAAGTTTAAGAAGATTATGAATACATTATCAATCGATTTCGATTAGATTTGGCGTGGGGAAATTGCACTAAGAATTCAAAGGCAACTACATTTTTGTCTCTGCTGAACTATACAATGACCACCTCTGAGATCTAGTGGTCAGAGTTCCTAGCTACAGTTCCAGAGGTCACGGTTTCGATTCCCGGTGCTACCAGATTTTCTGAGAAGTAGTGGGCCTGGAACGGAGTCCACTCAGCCTCGTGAGGATAATTGAGGAATTATTTCAAGGAAAATGCGGCTCCGGTCTAGAAACCAGAAATCAACGGCCGTGGGGATTCTTTGCGCTGACGCAGCACCTTCTATCCGCCAAAGTTGACACTAACTTCCCCGACAAGCGGCGGTCGCTCGGTCGGAATAGATCGCTTGCGGACTAAAACCACGAAGTTTTTTGTCTCTGCTGACCCACACAATGCTCTGATTTATTTAAATGAGTCTAGAGCTTGCTCATCGCAGAGCGTTGTGTGGTTTATTCGAAATTGCTGTAGGCATCTCAGACTCTACAGCAGCGAATGATAAAATGTTTGGTGAATAATGAATTGGAAAGGGTTTGTTTGTAGCGGTGGTGGCCTAATGACGAAACTATCCAAAAATTTGCTCTGGAGGGAGTGAGGAAAGCCACGAAAGAACTCAGTCAGTGCAATTGGTGTTTGGGTTAATATTTTGATGGGGTACCTCCAAAATACAAATCTACGATATTATGTCAACGCTATACCAGCCTGCTCGGTACAAACACTAATATTAGGTCATGCGTGGAAAAGAGATCTCGTTATGGTTTGTAATTTTTAACTGAAACTTTTTTGTTGTGTACGTTTAAGATATAGAAGGAAAATGAATGTAATATCACTAACGTTGAACCGACACATTCTGGAACTTTCCCATCATGTCGTTGTGGTTAAAGAAACATGGTGTTTCGGAAGCGACCTCTGCTTCCGTCAGTACATAAATCCATGAAACCTGCTCTGCTGGGTCCATTAGATTGCTAGCCTCTATTCCTGGATACATTAGTTCCACCTCATGAACCCATATATTTTCCTGAAGACGGAAGAAGAGCCACTACCCGAGATGCTGTGTTTGATTAACCACAGTAAGAGTATGATAAATTCCCAAAACGTCACTTTAATAATATACGTTCGCCACACTTCTGTAGACTTATCTTTACTGTTCGTCATCGCGTTTATGGAAGTCAACAGTTGGACCCTACCATATTATTAAGTAGCTCTGTTAAAAATACATGAGATCCGCAATTAATTAACATAAAGATTAATAAGAGGCGTTACTGGATAAAGCGCCGATTACAGTGGCCGCACGGTCCAAGGCATGAACCGTCTTCTCCCGTTCTAACTTTGGAGTCATGGGTTCGAATCCCACTAGAGGCATGCATGTCTGTGTGCGTTTATTCTGTGTTTGTGTAGGTAGCAGCCTTCCGACGGGCTGATCCTCCGTCCAAGGTGTCCTACCAACCGCATATAGGATTAAGAAACTGACAAAGCGGCCCAGGTCCAAAGGGCTATAGAACCATGAAGAGAGAGAGAGAGATAAATGGGATAATATCTATATTCAAATGGAGCGCTCATTTCCACTTGATGTTAAAAGTGTCTTGCTGTTGCACAGTTATGTACGCAAGCGCAAACGATATCCGATGTTCATACGTAACGATATGTAAGGCGCACACTCACTGCCAATTGGTCGTGTAACAGGATTGCGCGGGATTGAGGTTGTTGAACATGTGCAGTGTGCTGTGCAAGCGGAAGAAAAATTGACTGGTATTCAACAGGTAAGTGCAGTATTTTATCCATAAAGAAGATTTTTTCTTTGGTCTGCATTATCCAGCTTTCAAGATAGTACGTTGTGTCGGCTGAAAACTTATCCCCTGTGTCTAAGCTTGTGACATCGTAGGTACAAGGTGGACTGTCGAACAAGTTATCTTTTGTTCTTTTAGGTTACGACACCGTGTAATTTGGTAGGTGCGTGCCAAATTTTCAGAGGAACATAAAAAGAGTCTCTGTCTTCATGATATTGTCATATAATCCAAAGAAATATTATATTCTAACAGGTTATGTTTAGGTTATCATCGATTGTTATCCATATTCTCTTCAAATTAAATGAAATTTTTATAGCAACTGGTGCTGCAATAATTATTGATGCTTATACTTATTAAATTAGATTAATTATTAAATACAAGCATAACGAAGATCATCGAATTCGTCCTTATCCTTTTGTAGTTGTTTAAAAGTGGTTTTGCCGTGCTATAAGTCAGGCTGTCAGTCTCCGGCTTCCCAACGCGACGGCCCTGATTCGATTCCAAATCAGATCATATGGAATTTGTGGAGTACCAGGTAGCACTGTGACAGGGTTTCTCCGAGTACTTCGGTTTACTCTGTAATTCTCATTTCATCAACCGCTTCATTCCATTGATATTGACAGGATTGTTAAATAAACTCGAAAGATGCTTTGCAACTGGGTAACTTAAGTACTTCTGATTAGAGGGACAGAATATTTAACAAAGCTGTTACAGTTCCAGAGGTTATTTCGTGATGACGTAGAAACGTACTGAAAACTGTGTGTATGTGGGGGGTGTAGGAGTTCCAGACGGAACCCGCTGTGGGTTGACTGAAGTGAAACCACAAAAAGAAGATCCTAAAATAACTACTCGGAATTCGAAATGGGTACATCTTAGATACATTTGTTACGCATTATTGCTGAGCTTGAAGCATGTTAGTGAAGTTTAGTGGGTAAAGTAAAAGTAAAGATATCCCTGTAACAGGCCATGAAGGCCCATAGGGTTGTGAGACGTTGAGGGTCCGACATTATCTAGACAATCGGCTCAAAGATGGCAGTAAGGTTGTCAGCCTTACGCGCCGGCCGCGCATTACTCCCCAGGTAAATTAATTAATTCATTTCTGGTACTCATTTCTGTTAGAGGCTGAATAAATGCTATATTTAAATGCGTTTCTGGAATCACAATTCACACCGCTGGCTACTATTTCCACTTTCGCATAAATCAGAACTGGCGTCAATTTACTAAATTACATTACTAAACAGCATACTTTACTCTCTTGCACCTCGTGTACTCTGACGACCGCCTCTGTGGCCTAGTGGTCGGAGTTTCTGGCTACAGATTCAGAGGTCCCGGGTTCGATTTCCGTCGCTACCAGATTTTGTGAGGGGTGGGCCTGGAACGGAGTCCAATCAGCCTCGTGATAATAATTAAGGAGCTGTTTCAAGAAAATACCGGCTCCTGTCTAGAAAACCGAGATTAACGGCCGTGGGGATTCGTTGTGCTGACCACGTGACACCCTCTGTCCGCAAAAGTTGGCACCAACTTCGCCGACAAGCGGCGGTCGCTCGGTCGGTATAGTTCGCTTGCGGGCTAAAGCCACTGAGTTTTGTTTTTGTACGCTGAGAATGCTGGAAATGAAAATGTATGGAGAAAGCTAACTAGTGCAGCGAGATAATACTGGATGGGCCAAGTCAGAGAATGTGTAATGCAGCAAATGATGAGTTTTAGTAATGTGGAATAAGTAAACGAGCAACACAAAAAAAAAAGTTGATATGGATAGATTCACTGAATTGAATGTAATCGAAGGTAAGCGGTTATAGCACATTTTAAGGAAGGCATTAATATGAAAGAGTTCATGTAAGAACTAAAGTCGGAGGAAAATTTGGATTTGACAACAGCTGATTATTAGTAGATTTCTAGTTCGTCATTCTTTGTGAAATGAAAAGTAATTATGTGGTAGACAATGCTATTTGCCTCAATGTCTGACACTGCTGACACTGGCGTACACACAGTAAAACGCAAATTGTATAAAAATTGTGGGCAATCGACATTACTCGAGGTCTGCATGCTAGCATTTTGAAATGACCACAGACCGAAAGAGTCTTAAAAAAATTGAGGCACTATGCTACAAGCCGGAAGGTCTCGGGTTCGAGTCCGAATGAAGTAATTTTTTTTTTCATTTGACCTAATCTAGCAGCATTATGGCCCTAGGGTCGACTCAGCCTGTAACAGAAGTGAGTACCAGGAATCTTCCTGGGGGATTAAAGGGCGGCCGGCGCGTAAGGCTGACAGCCTTACCTACATCTTTGAGCCGATTGTCTAGATAATGTGGGATCCTCAACGTCTCACAACCCAATGGGCCTCCACGGCCTGTTACAGGGATAGTTTTTTTACACTTCTCTACCATTCGCATTGGCTGAACATGTAGAGTGTACTAGAGGTAACAGATAATGTAGAATAGTTCATGTTCGGTGACACTGATAAGCTTCACACTTGGACCGCTTTTCCTCCAGCGAAAACGTTCTTATTACCCACTGGATCAGAAGTGGGGTGGGCCCCAGTGCAAGACAAAATCAATGTGAACTGAGATTGATCTCTTGTCCCAGCCGAGAATGGGACTCCGCGTCCTCTGTCCACCCGGATACGTAGCGGCTGTATTGGCTGAGCTATCCAAAACCACATAAAACTATATTGTTCAATTTACTAGGTGGTTCAAATATGACCGGGACTGATTTTTTGCAAACAAGCCGCACTCCGCAGCAGCTGTGCGACCTTGAGAGAGTGAAGCCACAACCTCCATCCTCCTCCTGTTAGGGTTAGAACCTGTTCAGTCCTGTCTGGAAGTTGCTAGAATGATGAGTGAACAGACGGTACCGCGGAGCGTGGAACAACGCATTGTGATCAAATTCCTCGTTGGAGAAAACGTCCCGTCCGCTGAAATTCACCGCGGACTCCAACAACAGTATGGGGAAGAGTGTCTCTCACGGACTCGTGTGTTTGAGTGTGAACCACCTTGTATTTTTGATTTGGTTCGTCCTGGTCCGTCCCGCTAGCAATATTGTAAAAGGTTAATCAACTCCGTCCAGTGTAACTGATAAATTTTTCTTTCTGTCTTTCCCTTTTAATCCTTGACACTAAGACCGAAACATGTCAAGGACGAAAGATTAAACAGGAAAGAAAGAGAAACCACCTTATCATTTAACTGGTCAGATTTGATTAACCGTCCGTTAAATTTAATCCAGAAATTACATCAATTTCATTGATTGGATTTAAGGTCCTCAAGGCGGTGGCTAAGAATATGGTCTTTTGGGTTGTAACGCCGTGTAGTTAGGAGGGAAGAACATCGCTTCCATCTTCGGAGTCGCAGAGTAAGCCAGTCAAGAAGTCAACAGAAGCAGGCAGAAAGAACGTGCCACTTTATTCTGTTGGTTTCTTGCTTGCAGGACATTTGGAAGCTATTCACAAGCCGAAACTAGATTTATATTTGCAACAAATGAATATAAAGGTCAGTGAGGCGTGTAGGGTAAGTAGAACCACGTTTGAAAATACGTGTACCCGATGCGAGTACATCATCACTCATATCTGCTGCAGAATGAACAGTGGTCAACGGTAAAGTTATCCCTGCACTGTGCCATAAAGACATATAGGGGAGTTGAGGTATAGCTCCACTTTTCTTGAGCTCTTGACTATGCAGGTGAGTGGCCAGCTTTACGTCGCGGCCGGTTTATCCCACGGAAATCGTCACCAGTACTCATTGGATAGGAAGCTGGGTGGACCCCAGAACCGGTTTTGACGTTATGGAGAAGAGAAAAATCTTGTTCCTTTCGGGAATTGAACCCCGGCCGTTCAGTCAGTCGCCTGTAATCCTGGCTCAGGTATCCCGACTCCTGAATAGTGGTCGGCTGGTGTAAATTTAGCACCACAGTATAAACACACGTGGGGGAATGGAAGCGTAGCTCTACGAATTCTTACTTTTGCACTCGATAGAGATAAAAGGATTGCACCATGCTTTGGCGCCTTATCTTTCGTACCCAGGAGCAGGAATCTGGCAGGACCCCGCGGTGACACAGAAATATGCAGCGTCATGACACTCGTCAGTCATAACCATCTAGCGTCTTATAAACCAGCTGTAAAGGGCGTCAGATTAAAACGAAAGATAAGTTATCTCTGTTTGCTTTTTACTCATATGACTATCATATAAGTCTTTTATGAACTTGAATGGATTACTGCTATCTGTAGGATCTGAACTATTGTCTTCTGGCCCATGTAGTTTAGTTAGTAATTAACGCTTTATTAACATCATTAATGCCATTCAGTATGCTCCTGACCCATGAAATGTTCTGTGGTCTTCATGGTTGAGATTTCCCGTGTGTTTCCACAGTATCTCCAATTAAATGCCAGACTATTACCTTAAATTTGGCAGAACCGCCTCCTCTCCACAGTCCTTCCAATTTCCTACATCTATCTATCTATCTGGCTGCCTGCCTGCCTCTCTATGTATCTAATCATTCGATATATAGACAGCGCCGTTAAATAAACTACAAATTAAAATCTAAGCATCGCTAATGAAAGGTAAGAGGTGAATCTATCCGTGGGATTAATTAAGCACCACGCTGTGATTAGTTTTAAGGAAGTGGAGGTATAGTTCCACCGTCCTTGACCTAGGCACTGTATGAAGGTGAGTGGTCAGCTTTACGCTCTGGCCGCTTTGCTCCCGTGGAAATATCCCCGGTACCCATTGGATTGTAGGCTGAGTGGGCCACAGAGACGGTTCGGACACTGTAGGAAAGACAACAAGCTTTTTACACTCCCGGGAATTGAACCCCAACCCGTCGCTGTACCGACTGAGGTATCCCAACACCAATGCGTCAGTATGGGCCTACTTCCTGAAATATCACGTGGTTTCACTAATAGCGACTTTGTTAATTGAGTCTTATGTAGAATATGTGACATGTGAACTTAATTGCTCAATTACTGTTCATCATCATCAGTAA